ATCTTCTTCCCACATAGTTTTTCTCATCTTCTTCCAATATAGTTTTTCCCATCTAGTTCCCACATAGTTTTTCCCATCTTCCCACATAGTTTTTCCCATCTTCTTCCAACATAGATTTTTCCATCTAATTTCCACATAGTTTTTCCCATCTAATTCCCACATAATTTTTCCCATTAATCTTTTTTTCTATTCTTAAATATCAAATTTTGGACATTTAATTTTGGACATTAAATCTTAACTAAAAAAATATTTTTCTTTATAATTATTCTTTTTTTTTAATTGTGAAATGGAATAGCTTATAATTTTTATACTATTTCTAAATGTAGCTAAATGTAAAATAATAGTAAAAAAATGTACTTGATATAAAAAATGTTTAATTTATTAGTAGTGCTAAAAAAATTACATAAAGACATTAATAATATATATTGTACAACAATATGAATTTTTTAATTTTATTTAATGAATGGAACATCTATGTAAATAAAATTAATTAAATTAAATATGAGCAACAGTTGTATACATCAACTTTTATTTTTCTTGTAACATTTGCTTCCATTCTTATTCTGTAATGACATTTAGTCTTACAAAATATATATACGTATTTTCTGTATAAATGTACAGTTTCATTCTCGTCTTTTTTTTTGTCGTTTCTCATCGTTTTTTCGTTGTTTCACTCATACGATATTCATGTTCACTAGCTCGTTTTTTCGTTCGCATATACATTTGTAGGCCCAAATATAATGCAATTGTTTCGAATCCCAATAGGACTCGTAGCACATACAGTATTCCAATATTAAAATAATCGATTGTTTCGTTTTACCTCGCACATTGGCCGCGTACCAAAACGATACCCGTGAGTTACATCGGCCGATTTTCCATTTAATCCTAGAAGCTGATTTAACGGGTGTACATTTGTTACGGGCATTAGGTGCGCTCATTATTTATCGCAGACCGATAAATTCCACCGCGGAAGCAAGTGTTTAATTTTACACGCGTCCGAGAGCAATAATTGGAGGATGAAAAAGCCCCTATAGACAATTATTCGCACGTATTTATCGGAAACGGATAAGCCATCGAAAGATTCCAAAATATGAGTTTGCAATGCTTTATTGATTAGGAATAATGCCATTATCGAGAAATTAATTTTACTTCTATGTACGTGGGAAATTGCAGAGTTACAATTGTTATCGTATTCATGAGAATCTCTCTTGTAAACTCCCTTGTAAAACCTACATTTTTTAAAGATATATAAAATATTTGACATTTGTTTTTAGTGTTTATCAAGAATATTAAATTTAATATAATTATTATTTGATCTTGAACTTTTAATTGTTTTCGAAGAAAGTTTCCACGTTTATGACGTAAGTTAGAGGCGTTGATAATTAAACTTCCATAATGTTCCATAATGTTGAAGTCGATCTAATTACTCTGTCGATTCAAATATAATTTATGATTTTATATCCACATAAATTATCTTGCTAAAGTAACTTAATTACTTCAAATAATTAGAATATAATAGAACCATAATGCGTCGGAAACATATCTCACGATTAATTAATGCGTTATTAAATCATAATGCCGAATAATTTACGGCTACGCCACATGACAATTGTGCAAATGCATAGGGAGCATAAAAGTCATGCATACTAATAATAGCATTTACTGATCTATTATTAGTAGTTATTTCATTGAACTTGAAATTAATGGATAATAATGTATTAATTTATTTTTTTAGGAAAGATCAGTTTTTAAATTATTGCCTTTGCATTTATCCTTTACAGTTATCATTAAAAATATTACTTTTAATACTTTGCAAAAATGCCGCATAAAATCGCTGCAATTATTCTTATATTTTTTATTTTTTACCTATGCAAATTATCGCATAAATATCGCGTAAAAATAAAAAATGTTTATAATACATAATTACGTCATTCATATATATATATATATATATATATATTGTTGTAATTTTATATTTTGCGAGAAACAACTTTTAAATTCCTTTTGAAACGATTTGACCAGGGGATTTCGCAGTTTACAGTTCATACATTCATCGCTTGAACTCGCAACTTTCTCTCTATGTACGACATTCAAATTTCTAGCTCTTCTTTGGCGAACAGTAACGTCCGATCGGCGACACATTGAGCGTTGCTTGCATGCCACAGGGATTTCCCTTGGAAATTGCAATGTGAATAATTTGTCGCAATATGCAACATTCGCATCAAACATTCTGAAATATTTCTATTAGGGTGCATCTTCGCGCGCCTCTTAAAGCGTCCCCGAAGATTCCAACCTGTAAACTTTAGCTTTGAGTAAGTTACGATGATACAAAGTAGCAATGTTCATACTTTGAGAGACAGAAAATCATTTCCACTTTCTGCAAGAGTTTGAGTTATATAGCAATATATTTATTATATGATCTGAGAGTTCTGCTACATAATGCAAAATTATTGAGAAATTCTGTAAAATACAATTTGATGAAAATTACATTATTATTAATGATAAAATATTAATTAGAATTAACCTTTAAAACTTAACGTTAATTAATTTCATAAATTGAATAGACACTTTATGAGAAGAGAAATTTTGCCTTTTAATTAATATCACATATAATAATTAAATTGCAATTATGATATCAAAATCCATGGCGGTGTCATTAAGTGCTGACCAAACAATATTGCATAATTCTAATTATATACTGGAAAATATTTGGAAATGCATTTGAATCATATTCAGCCGCGTGCTGAATGACGGAAAAATACGTGAAAACTTGCCAAGTAGAAACAATTATTTTTCTGCGGACGCCAGAGATCCTGCCCACTTGCTGGATATTAGTTCTGTCCGAGTTAACTGATAAAATTTCTTTCCAGTTTTTTTCTCCAGGCGTCAGCTATTTCTTGAGCAGCAATTTGTAAATAACAAGTTGAAAGCACCGTACGCAATACTTTCAGTTGTCGAAATAAATGATTGAAATAATACGATTTTATTCCTGCGATGAAATGATAAGAAATTGTCAAAGTCTTTGATGTGCAGCAATAAAAAAAGTTTTGAAGGGTGGCGTTACTCATTTAAACTTTCACTAAGGAAACGCGCCCTTTGAACACACGTCAAGAAACACATAGATTAACGAAAAGTACATAGCCTGCTTATATATCCCTTCTCAAATCGCCCGTTTCGTTTCTCCTCAGACGGAACTGAAATTGCGCGCAAGAGAAAACTTCCATTTCAACTTTCGTTAAAGCACGCCGAACTTTCGTCTGGAAACATTGTCGGTGAAAGAGGTGCGATTTGCGAGACGATAACATTAACTTTTCTCGTCATGCAAAAGGTACTTTTGCATACTTCACGTCATGTATACGCGTTGATTGATGCGTGCCTGTGTACGTAAGGACAAGACTCTCGATGGTGGAATGTCGGAAGTCGAGCTGGACGTTTGTGTTCTACCGGAAATGTCGTCTTGCTCCACTGTCCACTCTACGACCGGAATTGAGCCTTGAATGTTAGCTCTTCCTGCGCGAATTTATCATCCCGAATTCCTGAAGACCCGGGAGGATTCTCCCGTCGTTCCTTTCGACTCACGATAATACGAATCGCCGTGTAGCCTCGAGCGAATAGGATTAAGTTAGTTTGCAGAATTCGATTTTTCACATGAATCACGGAAAATCGAAGGATATATACATCAAAGATATATACATATACGTATGTATGATTTACTTAAAAAAAGATAAAGAAAAATAAGATGAACATAAAAAATACAAGTTTAATGTTAACTAAAATAAATATGAAGTAACACAAGATATATATTTTTAATAATAAGTGATTATTGCTGAATAATATAATTCTAATAATAAATTCGTATAGTCATTGTACGTAAATTTAATCGTTGCTATTTAATATCAGTTAATCGTACATCAAATGTAAAATTAAATGTTTAAAATTAATTAACCTATTTAAATTATAAAAATGTAATTAAAATGGAATATCTTATGACAGATATTAATATTCCTCACATTAAAGAAAGAAAAATCCTCGGAGACAACATCGTAGTATTGATATGAAGAAGGCTAGAAACGCTTCGGATAATGCAATATTATTCGATGATTTGGAAATCGGAAATCCGTGGATAAATTCTAACACGAGCTTCGAGTTCGTTCGTGTAAATCATGCTGGGTCTTGCCTCTTTTTCAATTTTTTTCGATTTTAGTGGAAGACCTCCGGAAAGTATCTGCAGATCTTTCTCGAGTGAGGGTGGTTTCCAAGGAACGCAAGGATCTGTCATAATGACTGTATGGCGTATTTTCCTCCTTTTCTGTACCGTAAAGATCCTTTTCGTTGTGCCTGTGACCTTTTTGGCCCTTTTAAGACCCTCTTTGTCCTTTCCTGGTTTTCTTAGGTCTCGAGATTTTTCCGTAACTATAGCACTGTATAGAATATTGTGATTAAATTATTATCAACAGCTGTATATTGAATGGGAAACAAATAAAATTGAAAATTTAGAAATTTAGTTTTTAAATTTGTTTATTATTAAAATGATGGAAACTCGACGAAATATTTTATTTATTATACTAATTTGTTTCAATGTTATCGTTTAATACTACAATTTACTATTGTTTACCGTTAAAGCGACATTTAATACATAATCAAAGCACAACAATTGATGAAAGAGAAAAACTTTTAATTCAAAGGAAGTAAAATCTTCTGAAAATAAAATTCTAAATACAAACACTAGTGCAGTAGCAGTCTAATTTCAAAAAAATCTAGAACCAGAACGAACCTGCATTTCAAAGATCTCTTTGCGAGTTTTCTTGCTTTTGTCCTTTCTATGTTAGCTTCTTGAATTTCGCTTTTAGCTCTTTTCACATCTTCTATCATGTTGGCGAGTTCCTCAGGTGTCATCTCCTGGAGGAAACAAATTTTTTCTTCTCTGTACTTTCTAGTTAACTCTCTGCGCTTATGAACGCGCAGGAGCTTCGTCCAGCATTTTCTTTTTTTCCGTCTCATTCTGTCCTTGCTTCTGATTGGCGACCTTGCTCTGATACTATCCTTCAATTTCATTCTCTCGACCTCGCCCCATTTCTCGCGATCTTTGACTATTCGATCTGTAGAACTAACATCGGCGATTCAATATGCTTCTTATAGATTTTAGATTTGAGAGAGAATCGATAGTTGGATCGGAATTTAAGTTAAAACAAACGTTATTCAAATTCCAATAACGTCAGGAAATCTCAAAAATCACTAAGATTCTGTCGATCTTGACTATATTGAATGTCTCAAATCTCTCCTTAAATATGTTAACTTTTTTATTAGAAAATAATAATAGATGATAGAAACATAATATAATAATAAAAGTATTTTATGCATAGTGTGTGGATATTATAAAATAAATATAAAATTAATAAAAGACCTATATATATATATATATATATATATATGCTTTTGTTTAATTGGTATCTTAATATTATTAAATAAAAATAAATTCTGAATTAAAGGATTACAGTATATACATTAAGAAAAGAATTAAAACATTTGTTATTACTATATAAACATATATAATTTAAAAATTGATAAGCATAGTAGAATTTTTCTTAGAAATTTTTTTTATCAATAATATTCTCATAGATTTGTCTTTTATTTATAAGAGAAGAAAATTTATTTATTATGTGAATATTAAATCCGTGCGCACCGTACCTAATTAATTTTCTAGGCATAGTCCTGCGGCAGCAAATATGAGGCTTGCAGACAACAACTTTGCATGGTCTCGACAACCTGAAAATGACGGGCCTCGGTCGTTTCTTCCGTATCTTCTTTCTGCGTTTTCTCTTGCTAATTTCCTTCAGGGGAGATTCTACGATCGCTTTCACCAACGAAGGCAAGGGCTCTTCCGCCAACAAAGGCAAGGGCTCTTCCATCGTTGCCTCCTTCCGTTCAACGTCTTGCGCTATTTCCGTCTTGGAAATATCTACGATCTCGCTTTTCTTTGGATATTTCTCTCGTTCTTCTTTGATTATTTTTTTTAATGGTGTTGTCTCGAGGCCTGTTGCTTCGTCTATCGGTAAATCTTTTTCAATTTTTCGACTGATTTTCTTTACGACACGGCTGATTTTTAAAGGTGAAATATCTAAGTCTTCAATCTCTTCATATTTCTGTTTTTCCTATGAATCGCAAAAACATAATATAGAAATTAAAATAACATAGATGAAGCAATAATGAAACTATTTATATAATTATTTGTACATTTAGTCATTGTAACTGTAAAAAGTGCAGATACATAGGGTATATTATTAAACTTTTAAAATTATATGTCTTACATATTTTAATAATTACTCAAGTGATCTTATATTTATGAAAATTTCTTTATGAAATTTCAATATATAAAATTAATATATTTAAAAAAAGAGACGATACATGTGATTAAAATTTTAAGTAATAATAAATTATAAATAATTACTTGAACATAACCATTTAATTACATTTAAATTTGAAACGAGACATAATAACAAGATATGATACAACTGATAAAACTGTTTAAAAATAATAATTAATTAAATTAATAAATAAATATCAAATAAATAAATATCAAATTAATTATTTAGTTCAGTTTGATAAAATTGATTGTTATATATAATTTACTCAAATTAAAATCTTGTGGAGTGTAATTATTATTTTGTGATATTTCGTGCGACAGTAAGCGATAAATCATATCGAAGAGTAGAAGGTCACAATCGAATGAAAGATAGATGAAATATTACAAAAGTTCGCTAATATATAGCGGTTAGCTGACTGCGCGTGATATATTAGAAATGTTATTAAACCATGGAAATAAAATGTTGGAAGAAAAAAATGAAGTATGAAATTAAGTGTATTTAAATAATACGTGAACTTTTTTATGCAAAATTTAGATTCACGATTAATAAAATGTCTTTATGCAAATTTCATTGAGCAACTTTCTGATTTCGAAATAAAAAAGAGATGAGCGCTTTTTTTATTTGATTAGAACAATTTTTCAAGTTTAAAAAATAATTTTATTAAAATAACTATTTAAAATTTTATTAAAATAACTATTTAAAATTTTGAAATTTAACGAATGATTACTTTGATATTACCTTTTTTACAATCTCGAAGAATTTTTCTTCTATTTCTTGAAGTTCAGGAAATTCATCTTTAACCTTTTTTTTGGATATTCTACTTCTTTCTCGTTCTTTCTTTTCTTTTTCAATTTTTCGCTTATCGTTTATTAGTCGTTTATCTTTCTTTCTTGTATCCACCAATGTGAGCTCTAACGGTTCTTCTATAATAGTTCTCGCCAATTTTATTTCTTTTATCCGCGTATCTATTGCTTTTACATAACGAGAACACTTCTCGAAGTACTAAAGTAAAGAATTGGAAAAATGCAATGAATTTCTAGTTCATTTTACATCTCTCATTAACTAATTATACTTTTATATAAAATTTGATTATTACATTATGAAAATTTTTTATAATATAACAAAAAATTAATTTAATTAAATTTTTATAAAAAAGTATTGTAATCAGAATGTGTTATTTTATAATATTATCAGCAATTCTTTAAGATTTATATATTTATATATTCATCGCTGTTTGTTTTTCCTTGTAAACAATTTTATATTACAATTTTATAAACTTACAAATTTAAGAAGTGCAAATCCTTGATACTCACCGATGTGAGATCGCTTCTATCATTTTTATCAAACGAATATAATGCCTCCGTTAATTCGACAAGATAAACATTACCGGCGGAATTTCCAATAGCTAGTAGAGACCCCATCTCGTGTGACGTCACCGTAGTTAATTTTTGCTCACATAGTTTCACTGATAAGATTGGTTCTTGCAGACCTGTCAGAATGTCCCATATAGTCAACACACCCATACGTGTTACTATGTAAAATATCGAATGTCTTGTTTTGTTCCAGCAACCATAGACAGGATCCTTTATTATAAATCTAAGAATTAATAATTACTATTAAAATTTATTAAAATTTTTAATTCAGTTATGTTTAATCATGTCAATTCTGTTTACATTGCTAATTGATGAAAAATTATAATACATTGATTTTACATATTTATAGTATTGCAAAAATCAATATTACGTTTTGAAATATGAAAAGTTAATTAATACTTATTTATACGTTGTTATTTTATATTAATATCAATTGATTTAATATTTATATTTTAATATTAAATATGCTACATTTTAATATGCTACATTATTTAAATATAATATCTATATTGATAATTATATTGTTTATATTATAAGAATTTGTATTTTTCTGCTGATTTGAATAAATCATAATAAGAAATAATTATATATTATTAGCATTTTTAATGTTTTGTTTTAATTAAATATAATAATTTTTAAACATTGTATTTCTTTGAAAATTCAATATTGAGTTGCTAGATGGAAATTATATATATATTGTATATTCTTGTGAAGTTATTTACACTAAATTCTAATATTATCATTTTTACAATTACTTTGTTGACCGTCTTGTTTCAAATGAAAGAAAAAAATACCTGGTTGATACAAGATAACTATCCTTAGTATCTTCCGCCCAGATACGACCTGTGCAATCACCGATAGTGAGGAAGATCTTTGGATTGAAGCCACTACGATCGACGGAAAGAACTGGGCCGTAATGAGCGTTGAATCTCAAGGCCATTTTCTCGGCCGGTGTTTTCGCCTTTCTCGAACCACTGATCACGATGCCATTCTCCAGACCGAACATAAACTTCGTGCTTACACTGGGTTCGTAATCGGCCGATGCGACTCCAATCGCCCGATCCATTTCCGGCTCGTTTGGCATCTGAAGATCGAACACGAGAACTTCAGTTGGCCCTCGTAACTTTCTCGTATCCCACCACATGGCACGACCGTCCGAAGAGCCCGAAAAGAATTCCGTATTACTCTTCGTAGCAATCCACTTTAGCACTGTAGTGCGGTCCCTTAAAAAATGCAAGATATCTTTGTGAAGATATTTTGTAAAAGTATTCTAATTATTCTCTCATATCATATAATTATGTATATCTTAAAGATAAAACGAATATCTCTTTTTATATATACTGTTACTACACTTTTCATGAATAAAACAAAATAAGGATAATTGAGTCGTTGTTGCAAGCGCGTTGACGTTAAAAGAAAAATCACGCGCGACGTGACGAACGTCGTGTAAAAATTGAATGAAACTTAATTGAGGGCAAAAACGCGACAGAGACAACACTTTAATCATTCATCATCTTGCCGAGCGAGCTCGAAATGCGCTTTCGGCCGACCAAGAACAGGGCACTCTGGTACTGAATTATGAAACCCAAAGTTCCGACATCGCGCTCATGTTCGCGTCGAGATTACCTATGACTGAATTGACGATGAGACATTTGAACCGGAGTAGTGCCAGTCCTGATGTCCCAACTGCAAACTTGGCCTGACATCAAACCGCTGGCAAGTATGGAGGGATCTCGAAGATTAAACTCGCTGACCACCGCGGCGGACGGGGCCTCCAGTGCCATCCACGGCTTATTAGGGTTGTCTGGCGTTTTTCGAATATTCGGAACCAACAACGTCGGTCGTCAACCGTGCGAGCGGATGGAAAAGCATCGCGTTATTTTTTGAAAGATTAAAAAGTTGCGCTTGTGAAATCCGATTTCAAGCCATTAGAGACGTACCGTTAAAAAATACATGCGTTGAATAAAGTGTAGTTGCATTCCATTTCCGATACGCTAGAAATGCAATATCGTTGGGTTTTGTACCCGATTTATTTGTCTGCGTTTTATTTTTCTAGTATTTCAATCGTTATAAAACTAAGATGATTGTAATTGGTGATGTTGAACATTGCATTTTTTGTTTAATGAATCGATAGCGTTGCTGTTTGATTGATCAACATTCTATCGAGTGTTGCACAGAGAGAATTGGCTACGACGTAATCAATCGCTACAACTGAATTTCGCGTGGAACTTTTTAATCTAACTTTGCATCGGTCGAAATGAGTAACAAGTCTCTAGCACTTATATAAAAAAGTATACGTATAAAACGGCCTATGATATATATATATATATAGCAATTTCTATTACACTATCTATTAATATGTGTTATATTATATGTTTGATAATTATATAAACAGATATCTCTCATATATTTTTTGTTAACAAATTTTTTTGTATTTTTTTTGTTAACAAATTTCAATGTAATGAAAATGTTTGAAACTATTCTTTATTTATACAGGCAATTAGAAAAGTAGAAAAAAAAATTGTATTATTTTGAAACAATTTTGTTATTTATTGACTGAAGCAATTTGCACATTGTAAAATTGTCATTATTCAAAATATCAATGTAGGTTAAAGGCGAAAATCTGTTACAGACGTTGTGCAACCATAATAAAGTGTAACATTTAAATATAGTCACGATTTTTGCGCGCTTTTTCCACCTACCAATCTGCCAGATATATGCAACCTTGCTGTAATCTGGCTCGATTCCAAAGAAGCAGTACGAGACCATTATTTTACTGCCAGAGTCTGGCGACCAAGAAATATTGTTCACCGATCTTGCCGGCGTTTGAGGATCCTCGTAGACGTTTACTGTCCTAAAATAGAATTTCAGACTTTATTATTTTCAATGTAATAAGAAAGGAATATTTTTTAACATGATAATAATACTATCACGATATAAAGTATATTTAATGTAAAATATTCATATTTTGAAAGTTGCGCACGATGATGTGTGTTTTTCTATATTTTGTAATATATATATAAATATTAATATTAATATATCTCTCTTAATATTAATATATAATATTTGTTCAATATATTATCACGGTAACCCAGTTTACATTGCGGAAATTCACTGTATAATTTCCATCTCCATTTTTATTGCGTGTCCTAATTTCCATTTATCAATTTGAATATCATATTTAACAACGTCATATTGTTTTACATTACATATTGAAAAATCTACTTAACGTTTAAAAAAAAAATTATTACTTCCGCTACTTTTCTTCAAAGCAATTTCGCGCAAGCTACTAAATAGTTTAAAGCCGCCTGCAGCTCGCGTGCGCAGGAAATCGTTAGTTTAAAACAGAGAAAAGCAAATTTAGCAGTAGGATGCATAATTCATTCACGTCCACTACGTCTACGGAATCCCAACATATGTTCAGATACCTTCGGGCTTGGCCCGGGTTTAAATTTTAAATCTTTGATGGTTGAACCAACGTAGTCGTTCTTGTCCTCCACGAATATATACATTTTAAAATTGTCCATCTGAAATCACGAGGTCCTGTGCGGGACACCGGATATGTATCATATAATAATGGAATTCCTATTCCTTTCACTTTAATCGATTGAATTATTGCTTTACGATTACAATCACATTCGCCAAATCTTTTATTATGAATAATTTTGAACTTTCTACTACATCTTGGTTCATAATAATGATAATTTATTTTATTGTGTTTAGGATTATGAATGAATTATATACAAATCTCATTTACGATAGCTTAAATAGAAGTACAATAACAAAATTATATTTTTACCTGAAACTACGAGGTTTCATTAATTCTGTAGGAATCATATCGTCGAAATAGTGCTCGTATATATTAACTGCACTATTCTGAAGAATATTGTGCTCCATTTGCTATAAGAAAGAAAGCGATTTTTGAGAATAAGAGATGACATTTATATGTAGAATATATTTATAGATAGAATTGTATGATGAACGAAGAAATTAATTATTAGTTAATTATTTAATTGAGAATTGTGTGTATCAATTATTCTTTTTAAATTTTGATTTCTAAATGTCAGAATAAATGTAGAAAACACAATACAGAATTTTTCTCGATAATCCATTTAATATACTTGAAACAAGTTGCGCAATTTCGGAGCCCAATCTTCGTCCTTTTCGACCCGTCTGCGAAACCTCGCTGTAATTTCTTCGTCTTTCGGATTGATTTCCTTTGGCCAACCACCCTCAAAGTGAAACATTCCGCTATTCTTCGTCTGACTGCCGATAGTTTGGGCCTGGAATTCCATAGGAATGATTGTTAGAACGATAATGTGAAACTTCATGTAAGTCGGATTATATTCAGACAACTCTATTTCACTTTGTTCTTCATTTTTTAATAAAATAATAAAATAACATAGAGGCAAAGTAAACACTAATTTGCGATTTCATTGGTAATATTTTTTTTTATATTTTAGGTTATATATTTATTAATTTTTTTCTATTCTAAGCATATGATGAAGGTTTAAAATATTTCAGACATGATGTGATATTATAATTGTGAGATGTGAAATTGTTGTTGTTTCTAAAGTAATGTCAAATTTTGGATTGCCTCATTATAAAATAAAGCGAGATATTCACTAGAATTCACTTAAGGTACCATCTTTCCACGTTACAGTTTCATAGAAAGTTGCACATTTGTGGCATCAAGTAGCGAACTCTACGAGATGCGCGGATGTTGTACCGTCAGGCGCGTCAGTCTGACGCCAATTTTACCACAAGTTGCGTCTAGTTTCGTTAAAGTAAAGCATAGATGATTTTTGAATATATTAGTAGAGTTTTTGAACTGGAGTTGGTGCGGTACAACAAATACTACGTTCTCTTTACATCAGCTCCGACATTGTAATGTTAGAATTGTTACAACTTTATACGGAAATCTTGAACATGTAATCTTGTAAATTAAATAAAGAATCCTATGTTTTCTTTTAAGTGCTTTTTACATATTTGGTATATGTATATACAAATTCATTTGTATTATATTTATCTTACATATACATATTTATCTTTATTATGTAAGTATTTACATTAATCCTTCACAAAATTTAATGAAGTTATGAAATAATCAATATCCAATGTTATTAATTATCAACTAACTAACCTCGTGTAAGGCAAGCTGTTTGGTATGCTGTACACCGATGTTGCAATGAGTTCTCATAATATAGTGGATCATAGCGTCGGGATCCGGCTTGATCTCCTCGTCTATATGCGGACCGTATGTGTCGAAGATGCACTGTTTGCCAAACTCGGCGCGTGTTTTCAAAAAAACCTGCTTGATCTCCATTATATCGTATTCAATGTCAGTAAGCTAAATCGATGATTCCGATTCGTGTTCGAAATTCCGAAATCAATATTTGAAATGCCGAGGAATGGACAAAGCTTTCGGAAGCTTTCACACGTGTGCTTGACGTTGTCAAATGTGAAATTGCGCATAATCGTTTTTTTCTTTCAAATCGCAATACGATTAATAGTTTTGCTCTTTTCAGTTGAACTTTTTGCACTTCCAACATGGAGAGAAAAAGAGGAAAGGTGAATGAAGTTTAGTTAAAAAACAGATCTATTTCTTAACTTTTCAAATAATAGAATATAATGATTGGCAAATTGAATTGTTTATTTAATGTTGCCTTTATCAGGAAATAAAATCGCTTTCACTAACTATAACTTTTACATAGATTTAATTAAACATTATAATACTATTTCTTATAAACTATATTTTTCGACATAATACTTCTCTTTCCAAAATTATAATTTATGTTCTGCAAAAAATATATTTTTTCTAAGAAAACATATTTCTGTTAAATATTTATATCTTTATCAAAATCAAAAGAAATTAAAATTTTGATAAAATATAAATTCAAGAATGGAAAACAATTAAAATTTTTACATTTTTATCATACTTATTCGGGTTATAAAACTTATATAATGTAATTTATATGAATCTCTCGTTTTCTGATCAAGTTGATTGAACGAACGAAAGGTATAGGTTACTCGGCAAAGGTTGCAATCAAGGTTTCTACTTCTTCTTGTATTAATACTTAGTTCATCAAGAACTGCTGATGCAACTATTCCATCTTAACGATTCGATCGTATTCTCTATTGTGCGTTCAGTATCATGCTTGTCACGTCTTCTGAGAAAGATTACTTTCGTGCGACCAAAAAATTTAATAAGTTTTCTGAAAGAGCTATTGTTTCGAAAATAAACATTTTGGGATAATCTATTTCACGTCTAATGAAATTTCTTATTAGATCTAATCAAAACTGTAAAAACTGAATGAGAAAGATTTCTTTATCTTTTCTTATTTTTATTTAAGTTTAGCATTTTAATTTATCGTAATGTAGCTTTTGTTTTGATTTAATTTAATTTATCAAGAATTACAAAGTTAATATATAAAAAAAACTAGGATTATTCTTTAAAATAAAGTAAGTAACTTTTAGAATTATATAATTTTTAAAATTAAGTAACTTCACCTCCTAAAATTGCACAGTAACTTCATATTACATAATTATATTGATCATGTTATATTGATACTAATATTATATCTAATATTATATCATGATAGCTGATATTATTTATCCGATATGTTGC